GACTGAATTGCGTTTATAATTTCTCAAGTTTCTTGAAAGCTAATCCATCAATTCATTAGGGTTTGAGAAAAAGTACTCCGACCAGTTACTGTATATATAGACCATAGACCTTGTTTTAACTTGTTTATTATCTTGATTAAAAATAAGTTTAAAAGGAATGCTATGAACCAGACAACAGGTTACAAAGTTGTAAGATTTTAGACGTTTGTAGAATTTAAAACTAGAGTTTGTGAACTGATTTAAAAAGATAACATATTAGATAAAATATATCAGTAAAGTGAGATTAGGCCATTTGCCTGTAAGAATTAATTAATTGTATAGTCTTTTGATAAATAATACGGGTCTAAATTAATCTAGAACTGCTAATTTTTATTATAATATCCTATAATACTTATAAATAAAGACTTTTATAATTCGGATATGGCATAGTTTGCTAAGAAAACTACAACCTAATCATTTTTTACGGATCTATTTTAGCCGACTTTATTTTGTTTATAGTTTTTTGCCACCCATCATGGCGAATATAAAATTTTGCGGACGTTAGGAGTTCATATGAATATCATGAATAATTGTAGTTAAAAATCGCCAAAAGTCAATCAAATGTACTCAACTTTAAAGTTGTTATAAAAACTATAAAACTTATTCATTTTAACTTATTTTTTAAACAGTGTCATATGCTATTAGTAGTATAGGAAAATATAATAAAAAATGTTTCTACCCCTCGGGTGGTATAAATTAAATACATGAAAAAATGCCTTTTTTCAAAAAACTCACGATAAAAATAAGAATGTAATCATTTACAGGGTTATTCATTCTTACATGCGCGTCTATTCATTTTTATATGCTCCTTTATTCATTCTTATATGCGCATTTATTCATTTTTATATGCGCCTTTATTCATTCTTATATGCGTTTTACAAAAGCAATTGTAAAAAAGCAATTTGAACAAAAAAAAAAGTCATTTACAGGGTTATTCATTCTTATATGCGCGTCTATTCATTTTTTTATGCGCCTTTATTCATTCTTATATGCGCATTTATTCATTTTTATACGCGCCTTTATTGATTCTTATATGCGCATTTATTCATTTTTGTATGCGCATTTATTCATTCTTATATGCGCATTTATTCATTTTTATATGCACCTTTATTGATTCTTATATGCGCATTTATTCATTTTTGTATGCGCATTTATTCATTCTTATATGCGCATTTATTCATTTTTATATGCGCCTTTATTCATTCTTATATGCGTTTTACAAAAAGCAATTGTAAAAAAGTAATTTGAACAAAAAAAAATCATTTAAGCAATTTGTATTGAAAAAACAGTTTATTTTTTCAAAACAAATTTTTCTTATTTCCAGGTAAACGAGGTTAAAAATACTTAAAACGAAGGCTTTTTACATTCGACGATGGTTTATTTAATTTAGTATTAGTTCTTTGTTTTCGATGATAGTTCATTTAATTTAGTATTAGTTCTTTGTAATTATATTATTAAATTTCTTGATTGATTAAGTTATTATTTATCTAATTATTCATTTATCTAGATTTAAATTTAATTATTTATAATTATTATTAATATCAATACTTAACAGCTGAAATACTTAATAGCTATACCATGTAATATAATACTTAATAGCTATACCATGAGAGGGTAGTGTTTGCCTAATAGAAAGACTCCAGTGGAGTTTACAATTGTCCAAGCACCGGCGCTTCAACCTTTGCATTCCTAATCGCTGGTGCCATCATTGTAGTTATGAAAGTACAAAATAAATCTGCATTCCAGCCTCCAGATTTTATTTCATAAGCAAGCACTCCCATTGTTGAAACAGCACAAATTAAAGTAACATTCTTACCACGATTTGTAGGTGACTGTAAAATTGCTGGCGTACCTCTTAGCAAACAACCATATGTGCTGTTAGTGTGCACATTAAATCCAGTTTCATCCAAATAAATATGTTTTTCACCTGAAGTTCCGTTTATTTCGCTTGCAAATGCATAGCGTGCATTAATAACTGGTGTTGAGTTTCGTTCTTCGGCACATGCACAACACGTTTTCTTGATAAACCTGAGCGTTTGAGTTTTCTTGAAGTAGTAGACTGAGACATGTTGAAGCCTGCTGCAGAATGATATTTTTTTATTGCTTCTTGCGTGCAAAGATTGTTTTCTTGAACGCATAATTCGATAATATTTTTTATTTAAGAGTTTATAGGTCTTTTACCTCGTTTTTTATCAGAAAACGACTTGAATGCAGTCATGTCATCGAATTATCCTCTGTTTAACTTAACGACAAAATTTTGAACTGTGCGCTTCGATAAATTAAGAGAAGTGGAAATGCTTGTTGTAGATTGATTTCTTTCAATCAAATGTTTAAGCATTTCAATGTGCTCTTTTGCAACATTTTTCCTTGTTTTACGATTGGTACTGCTATTTTCTATTCCACCCATAGGGATGTATAATTTGATATTAATAATAATTATAAATAATTAAATTTAAATCTAGATAAATGAATAATTAGATACATAATAACTTAATCAATCAAGTAATTTAATAATAAAATTACAAAGAACTAATACTAAATTAAATAAACCATCGTCGAATGTAAAAAGTCTTCGTTTTAAGTATTTTTAACCTCGTTTACCTGGAAATAAGAAAAATATAGTATTAGTTCTTTGTAATTTTATTATTAAATTACTTGATTGATTAAGTTATTATGTATCTAATTATTCATTTATCTAGATTTAAATTTAATTATTTATAATTATTATTAATATCAAATTATACATCCCTATGGGTGGAATAGAAAATAGCAGTACCAATCGTAAAACAAGGAAAAATGTTACAAAAGAGCACATTGAAATGCTTAAGCATTTAATTGAAAGAAATCAATCTACAACAAGCATTTCCACTTCTCTTAACTTATCGAACAATAGCTGCAGATGTTGAACTATTTTAACTTTTTCTAATAGTTTTATGCAACTTTTTTTCTTGAATAACATTCTGTTGTATCTTCTATGGATATAAAACCACTCCTTTTTTTTGATGTTGTTGCATAGTATAATTTTTTACTTAGTTATTACAAATAGAATTTTATTCGTTATTACACAACAGTGCTTGTGATTGCCCCCCGATGTGTTCAGAATTACTCCACGTATGTAGGGTAATTCCCTACATACGTGGAAATAACCCTACATACGTGGTAGGGAACTCCCTAAGTATACGTGGTAAGGAATTCCCTACATACGTGGTAGAGAATTCCTTACTTATGTAGGGAATTACCCTACATACGTAGGGTAATTCCCCACATACGTAGGAATTACCCTACATTTGTCATAAATTTTTATTTTATAATACAATTTATAAAAATTGCTTTTGAGGGTTTGTGGCTGAGTAGTTAAACTAATTGATAATTGATACATATGATCAATTTTGTATAATGTCTTTAGTTCGCATTCCCGCTAAGGTGTTCGCCAACACCCCACTCTTCCCTATGTTTAAGATATCAACTTCTACATCAAAAAGATTTCACTTTCTGCAAAAGAAAAAAAACTTTCAAAAATTATTATAAAAAAAATGCATTAAAATGCAGCTTTTTGCAATTTTGAATTTGCTGTTCATTTAAAAGGCATCCTTCTCAAGCTAATCTTACTCAATCTTTATTAAGCTCATGCATTATGATAAATTTTAAGCTACTAACACGCAACCTTTTTTTTTTGCTCTAATATTCTCAATGTTTATTATTCATATAAAATATATATATATATAAATGCTTTAATGACATTTCTTGTAGTACTTGATAATTTATTGTATTTAATTTTACGTCTGATGACGGTCTGAACTATTCAGACTGAAATATTACATAAATAAATTAAAATATTAGTACTTAGCTGTATTGTATGTGTTATAAATTAAATAAATATATAAATGCAAAAAGTTTAAAGATTTTTATAAATACCAATAACCAAGTCATGTTGCTAGGTTGTAAAAACTTACTTTTTTGTTTTACAGGGTTATTCATTCTTATATGCGCGTCTATTCATTTTTATATGCGCCTTTATTCATTCTTATATGTGCCTTTATTTCATTTTTATATGCGCATTTATTCATTTTTATATGCGCCTTTATTCATTCTTTTTCAGCAAAAGTTAATAGTGAACAACATCTGCAGCTTCATTACACCACTGCACGTCTGGAACTGAAAAGGAAATTGTCAAATTTATTTTCTATAATGCTGTTTTGACCAAGTTTGGAGTTACCCCGCGTTCGCCATTACCCCACTCTCCCATATTGACAAAAAAATAAAAAAAAAATTGAAATTATGACTTTTGTACTTTTTTAACGAAAATCTATTACAAAAATGATGTCTTTAAAATCCATGTAGCCGTCCTGTTAATAAACATAAATAACAAACCTATATATTTTTAGATAATATAAGCACTATAATTGATTTAAAAATAGATAATAATAATTTTTCAATGTTTTGTACAATTTTGAATTATGGCCAATATTCTGAGGTTTTGCACCACTGTGCCAGGTTGCAATCGTTGCAATTTGACATAAGAATAAACATATAAATATTAAAAAATTATTATAAAGTCTCTATTTTGTAATTATATTGGATAAAAACAAATTCTTAAATTACTTTTACGTATAAATTAATTTATACGGAAACTCCTCAATACAACTAATCTTAATAAAAATTAAGAATTTTTTGAAAACCGCGCAACCCACGCTAACTTTCAAAAAAAGATGTTAACCCTTTAAAAGTCCCGTGTTTTTTTAAATAACGGTCGCTATTAGTCCAGCTTTTTTTTTTGAAGTGGGGTCTCTAAATGTTCCGTGCTTTTGAAAAACATCGTTTTTTTTTACTAATGAATTAAAAAACGTTTTTTACTATTTTCAACATTATTAAACGCTAGAAAATGTTATTATTCAAGTTTAAGAATATTTAATCATACTATTCAAACACAAAACTTTAAAAATATATTCACAAATATTTACTTTTTGTTTGATATTTGGCAGAACATGGAGCTGCACAAAGTCCAACATCATATTCTACAGATTCATATCTCGAATCTTATTGAACTTTGTGTTTGTAACATACCACACAATTACTCTGAGCACTAGTCTTTCATTATCAATTTTGTTATCAAATATATCTATCAATTAATCATTTATCAAATATATCTATCAATTAATCATTTATCAAATATATCTATCAATTAATCATTTATCAAATATATCTATCAATTAATCATTTATCAAATATATCTATCAATTAATCATTTATCAAATATATCTATCAATTAATCATTTATCAAATATATCTATCAATTAATCATTTATCAAATATATAATTTCCGACCTCTTTGTGAGTAAATTTTTGCTTTTTTGATCATTTAAAATTAAAGTGAACACGTGCTAAAGTGAATTATTTATTACCACGTTGCAGAACACAGTGTTCTTTCCTTGCAAACTACGTTTACTAGTTAGTAAATTTGCGTGATTCAAATACTTTATCTTACAGGTAGATTCCCCTTAAAAACACATATCCCCTTAAACACTACACGTATAAACTTTCAGCTCTGGGTTCCACAAATCTCAATGAAGTTATTAAACAATCATTGAATCAGTATCTCTGAACATCCTAGATGACAAATTAATTAAATATTTGCCTCTTTTACAATTTTAAAATTCCCAAAAAGTGAATGCAAATCTAACTTTTAGTTTTTAAAATGGTTCAATTTATGAATTAAAACCCTCTACTGTTTAATAATTTTTTTTTATGTTTACAATTATCTTTTTTTTAGATAATGTTAGACTTGTTCTAATGCACCAATGTAATATAAACTAATTTAAAAACTCTTAAAGATTTTTAAGTCGCATTTTTTTCGCATTGCCATGGATGTAGTTTTTAAGGGGTCACTAGCTTTAAAATATGAAATCTAGCTTTTAATACAACAACAATATATATTTTGAATAATAGGAAAAAAGAAAAAAAAATAAGTGTAGATTTAATTCAATAGCAACATATATATATATATATATATATATATATATATATATATATATATATATATATATATATATATATATATATATATATATATATATATATATATATATATATATATATATGTATATATATATATACATATATATATATATATATATATATATATATATATATTATATATATATATATATATATATATATATATATATATATATATATATATATATATATATACATATATATATATATATATATATATATATATATATATATATATATATATATATATATAACGATAAAACAGTTCTTGTTCTTGGAGCTTATGTTTCTTTTTTTTCTCTGAATCACAATTTTTTATCTGTTTTTCTTATAAGAGAGAAACCACTTTTGAAAGCACATTTTGAGCCTCCACAGATCCATGCACATTAGTGATCCTCGTTTTTTTTTGTTTAATTAACCTCCTTGGGTTTACCCTTGTTTACTGAAAGTAAACCAGGCACTTCTGCTAAATTGAGGCTTTTCTTATATGATTCCTCAATGAATGATTAGAACATATCATACATTGATTTCCAATATTTGGCTGAACCATACCGTCCTTTTATTTAGGCAACTTTGGATTGTGATCTTGGAGTTGTTGCTAAGGGTCCGTCTTTTAAGGTCACACTTCTTGTTTTCTTAGGAGTAGAAGATTGTAGAAAAACATCATCAGTTTTATTAATAAGGAGAGCTGCTTGTTCAAATTTATCCTGTTTCATATCATCAATATTAAGACCATTCTTACTTATACCAATTCTCTTAGCAGCTGCTACAATAATGGCAGCGGATGCCCAATTGTTCCACATTCCTAGGATATTTATGAATTTTCCTCGATTTATTGTCTGGAAAGAGAAAAAAAAAATTCATCTTGCGTATTATTATAATACCGATGGAGCTGTTGATTTGGTACTTGGTAGCTGTGTGACTTCAGTAGTACCAGGCGGAAACACAAATAAATTGATTTTCTTTTCACACAAAAAATTAAGAACTTTAAAGTTAAACCACGACGAATGACCATCTGATAGAAACACAACTGGTTGCTCTACCCCTTGTTCGGTGAGATGTTTATCAGGTTTCTTATACACAGCCAATAATAAAAGACACTAAAATCTCTACGACAGAAAATAAAATCTCCACAGCAGAGAATGGTTCTCAAATCTTGAGAACCACTCTCTGTCGTGGAGATGATTAAATTTTTGATTTTACTGACAAATTTTTGTGGTGCCATCTGCCTAGCCATGCCTTTGTCAGCAAATATTACTTGACACAATGATACCACCCCTAAAAACATCAATATTATATTTTACTTTTTAAAAATATACAACTATAAAAGCCACATCTTTAGTTGTGAAAAAGTTGTTTAGTTGGCTCACCTGATTATGTAACAAATGGGTTTATTGTTATGCTCTCTCTGTTTTCGCGAATCATTTTTTTTTTCATGTCTCTTATTTGCCAGTATAAACTAACCCAGTGGCAGTACCATCTACACCGTAGTTGAAAAACTGCGGTGCTTCGTCATTATTAAAAGCTTTTTCAGTTGCAATATCACCAACCCTTACACCATTTTTTGATTTTTATAGCTCTTCATTATACTACAAGCAATCAGTTTGTCTGTTAAAGCATCTGGAATTAAGTTACATAAATTATCAACGTACAAAACATATAAACTTATTCAAGAATAGTAACCAAGTTGTAGAACACTAGAGAATGAAATTAAAAGTAGATCTTTTTATATTCAGGCTAAACTAAAAAAACAATATGTGATAAAAAATGTGTACCTATCTGATCTGTAGCCGTTTCCCTAGTACAATTTAGGGCTCTGTTTATTTTAACTCGGCCTTGCCTCTTAACGACAATATCATCAAGTTTAACGTGCCATCTTCTCCAAAATGATTTCGAGTCTAGATAATTTGGATTATAAGTTTCAGTATTTTACATCTATTTAACATCTACTGTACCCTTGTATCTGTTGGGATATTGATAAATTAGTTTAAAGGAAAAAAAATTACTTACCTTCCATTTTGTAAGGCTGTTTTGCACTTGGTGATAGTTTTACAAACTTTCTTCCACCTTTTCCATTTTTGTTCAAATGATCTCTGATTTTCAGCACATCCAAAATTATTTCAGAAACTTCTTTCTTAGAGAGTTCCTGGCGGGCTCTGTCTTTGTTTCTGATAAAACAAACAATTTCCTTCTCATCATCTGGATGTAACACTCTCAAATCTTCCTTTTTTACATTCTTAACTTTGCTATCTAACCTTCTGTCTATTGTACCACGATCTTTTGTTAAAGAAAACTTTCCTGTTATAATGATGCCTGTCCTTATTTTTTATTTTCTGTACACCAATCTACTGCCTCTGATATTTTATTTTTTCTGTAAACTTTTGCTTCAGCTTGAGTTTCTGGCTTTGTGTTTGTTCGACTTCTTTTTCAACCAGCAGAAATCTTAAAATTAAACTGCGGTTTTCCCATACTATTTTTTTATTTAAACACTAAAAATAAAGAATATACTTATATTATTTATATATTTACTTAATTAGAGATTATGAGCACAAAATAAACAGAAAGGTACCAGTTATAAAGGGTTTCACCATTTTTTGGTTAAAGAAGATCAGTATAAACATTCTCTCCATTCCTGGCTATTCTAAGTGAGCTCGCAGAGGCATATTTTACCTAACGTAATGTAGTATTTAAGGGGGAAATCGTGTAATTTATATTACCAGTTAAAATGCTACTTTTTTTTAAACTTAGTTAGCAAGCCTCCTTATATATCATACTACACTGATTTCTGATATAATAAGGAAAAAATTTAAAAGTTTCAGAAATTTTTCGTCCGTATAAATACAACTATGTTCCTTGAAGTTTTTAAGGTAAACCTTTGAAAAAATCAGAAAATTCACTCTGCTAATTCTCACTAAATATGACAAAACAAGGATAATGACTTCCCAAAACAAGGATAACGACTTCCCAAAACAAGGATAACGACTTCCCAAAACAAGGATAACGACTTCCCAAAACAAGGAAATAGTTGACCTGTAACGGATGTACTCTATTTTAAAAATTTGCGTAGTCTTTAAAGGAATTCTACCCGTTAATCGTTCTGACCTTACCAATGATGTTGCCCTAATTTGATCAAAAGCTATAAATCATTGTATGACAATTTAAAAAAAAAAACATATCCAGTGGGCACGTGTCGTGCGAGGGACGTCCGTCGGACGTCTCACGGATGTCTCCGGACGACGCATGTCCACCAATTAATACTTTACAAATACTAACTTGGATCAATCAAATGAAATATAAGTTGAGTAAAACACCACATAGTTTGATTATTTTTTTAACAATATGTATTTAAGCTGAAAAATATTTTTTCAAATACAATGTTTACTAACGAGAGTAAAAGGAGAGGTGTAAACGAAAAGATAACTATATAATAAATACATTTTAAAGTTATATTCATATTTAAAAAAATAAATACATATTTAAAAATAACATTTATTAAATGTTATTTTTAAAATATTAGCTGAAAGAATTTAAAAAAAAACTTGTAAATAGATTTTTCATTTCTTATATAATATTATATTAAAGTTAAGCAGCAAAGTGACGGATTCGCCCCCCGTAACAAATTCACATCACCTTATCCTAATTTTAAAAAAAAAAATTTAAATGATTTTTTAATTTTATCAACAAAACAATTAAAACAATATATAGAACTACTTATAACTTCATAAAATTGCCTGCTGTTGCTATAGTTTCCATACCTGGAAAAAATATATTTTACTTTTTAGGCGTAATTCTTGATGAAACCTTGTCATGGAAGTTTCACATCCAATCTATTGAAAGTAAAATCTCTTATAATATTTCCGTAATTTATAAAACAAAATCATTTTTAAACACAAAAGCTCTAATGAAAATTTATTTTTCATTTATTCACAGCTATCTTTCTTACTGCAACATTGCATGGGGAAGTACGAATTACGGAAAACTCAAAAAACTTTATAGTAAACAAAAGCATGCTTGCAGGATTGTATTTGAGGCAAACAGAACTGTTTATTGCGAACTGCTATTAAAT